AACGGTGGGCGGGGGGGGGGGGCGTGGGATGAGCTCCGTCGGGCGTAATTTTGTTCCTCGGCTTTTTTTTTATGTGTGTGCCTGTTGTGGCGTCGCCGCCGCGTTTGGGTGCGTGCCCCGGCAGCCGGACCCCAACACCACCTCCTTTTATTGTCTTTGTTTTCCCCCTCCTTCCCACTCTTGTTTTTCTTCTCTCGCTTCCTTTTAATCCTGTTCTTCCGCGATGCCTCCTGCGTGTTTCTCTCCCCCCCCCTCGCTTCGTTACGTTGCTCGCTCAGATGAACGAGATGTCGAATAGTGATGCATCTGCCCCCCGTGAGCAGCAGCGGGCCTCCGTGCCGCGGCCCGCCAGCCTGGACGCCCATGACAAAAGCAAATACGCAGATCCGTTAGATCCCGAAGAGCGTGAGGTGGCGGCAACGAGGAAGTCGCCCACAACGCACGTTACTGCGCCGGTGCCTCTCCAGGCAGAGCGGCAGCTGCCCCATGAGGCACGTGCGGCTGAAGACGCAAACGTACCGCATGCGCCAAGAGCCGTGCGCCACGCTTCCTCCGGGGTGGAGCAGGAGAGTCATGGGAAGTCTCCCCACCGTGGGCAGAGGGAGTTTTCGATGGCGTCAGAAGACCCGACAAGTTCGCACTTGGCCAAGGATGCATCTACGGAATTTGGTGAAAAAAAAGACTCCATCGCAGTAGAGGTCACGGCTGACGGTGTCACGCGCCTGGAGGAACTTGATCCACGGGAACTTGCCCGACTGTACGCGCAACAACAAGCTGCCCTTCGCTCGGTTCGTGGAGAGTTTGATGTTTTATACGTCCCAGATTGGGTTCGCCTGCACCCATTGCTGGGGTCCTACGTGGCCGAAGCATTTGGAACGTTTGCCTGCGTCCTCACTCTGTCGCTTGTCAGTGTTCGTAATCAAAGTGTTTTTGACAAGGGCGACGATACCAACATGACGGCGCTTCCGATAGGGTTTATGTTTATGTGCATGGTGTTTACTTTTGGTTACATTTCCGGTGGCCACTTCAACCCTGCCGTCACGCTGGCTGTGTTTCTCGTACAAAAGTTGGATTTTGTGCGAGCCGCGGGGTACGTGGTTTGCCAAACTGGTGCGGCCACTGGCGCTGGACTTGTGGCAATGGCCATTCAAGGGGGCACCGACATATTTGTGCCGTACGTGGGCAAGGCGTACGTCTCCTCAGGCATATTCTCGGAGCTCATCTTTACCTTTGCTGTCGCCACGGTGGTGCTGAATGTGGCGTACTCCCGGCAGAGCGGAAACTTTTTCTACGGGTTTGCCATTGGAATGACGGTTGCCGCCGGCTCCGCCGCTGTTGGGCGCATTTCTGGTGGTGCCTTCAACCCCGCCGCCGCCACGGGCCTGCAGCTGGCGCTCTGCCTTACCGGGGACTGCGCCCCCTTAGCATCCTTCTGGGTCTACTGGATGGCGCCGCTGGTCGGCTCTGCGTTTGCGGCCTTGCTGTACTCGCAGCTCTCGCAGCCGGAGGACACCCGGGCCCTCACAGACGCGGTGGTGCAGCCGGAGAATCCACCCGCAACCGAGGCGGCCCAAGCGGCTTAGCCGTTTTTTTTTTCCTTCGCCCCTCTGCCTGCACGCCCCACTGCCTGTGCTCTGCAATTTCCCACGAGCTGGTGAGGCGGTTGTGGGAGAAGAAAAAGGGCAAAGACGCGTGCTTCTTCCAGGGCAATCGCGGGGGTGGGCACCTGTGAGAGTCTTTATCCACGACCAAAGCAAAGACGCACTTTTTTTTTTATCATTGTTCTTTTTTTCCTCTTTTCTCCCCTCTTTCTCGCTCTCCTCTCCCCCGTCTTGTTGTTGTTTGAAAACATCCGAATGGTTTTGACCCACCACACGGGAGTGGCGCTGCGGCGTGTTGCCTTCGTTTTTTTTCTTTTTCCGTGTGCATGCGCGTGTGCTGATGCTTTTCATTTGACTTGCCTTTTTTGTTTCCCTCGCCGTGTGTTTGTGTGTGTGGGTGCGTTTGTTCGCTTTTTTATTGCGAAGAGAAGGGGAGGCCCCTTCGTGACTGTACTGCGTTCGTATAGAAAAAAAAAGAATAAAAAAAAACCGTCGCAAACAGTGGAGCGCAAACGAGAAAAAAGAAAAAGAAGCAGAGGAGGAGTGTTGTGTGTGTGTGTGTGTGTGGCGGTCGTTTTTTTTTTAAAAAGAGGTGAGGGACGATGTCGGGGGACATCCTAGCGACGGAGGAGCGCTCCTACCTGGCGCGCAAGCTCCCCCTGATCAAGTTGTCTGCGTATCAGGCGAAGTTCATTTGCGAGGGCGTTGGCACCTTCATTTTCGTGATGACCATCTCCCTGGCGGAGGTGAACTGCGGCGTCGCCTCCATCAACGGCAAGAGCCGCACCCGCAACCTTGCCCCCATCGCGGAGGGCTTCATGCTCTCCGTGCTGGTGTTCACCTTCGGCTACATCTCTGGCGGCCACTTCAACCCCGCCGTGACCTTCGCGGCGATGCTTGTGCGGGCCATGCGGGTGGAGGAGGCGGTGGCGTACTGGATCGCGCAGGTGATTGGCGGCGTTCTCGGCGCCGTGTTTGGGATTCTGGTCAACGGCTTCCCGCGCCACCTGCCCGCCCCCCAGGTCTACCAGAACCTCCCGGCGTACGTCTTTACCGGCTTCCTTGCGGAGGCGTTGTTCACGGGGTTCCTGGTGACCGTCGTCCTCCACGTCGCCTACTCGCGCCAGCGCAACAACCACTACTACGGCCTCGCCATTGGCATGTGCCTCCTCGCCGCCGGGTACTCCGTCGGCGGCGTCTCTGGCGGCGCCTTCAACCCCGCCGTTGCGACGGGGCTTCAGTTGACGAAGTGCGTCGCCGCCGGCTACTGCGTTCCGTTGATGCATCTTTGGCTGTATTGGGCCGCCCCCGCCGCCGGGGCTGTTGGGGCATCGCTGCTGTTTAAAATGACGCATCCAGTTCCGCGGGAGACGGAGGAGGAGGCACGGAAAAAGGAGCTGCAGCGCTCCGCACGGCACCTCTACGGGTCGTAGGGCGCGGGAGGTGTGGCATTTGGCCCCGTCCAACGAAGAATACCCCTAACCCACGAATACACTTCCAAAAAAAAAAGGCGGGAAATAGTGTGAGGTGGCGGATTCGTTGCGGCGGAGGAGTGGGCCACCGCCCTTGCGGTGGCATACAACAACCAGCGGTGACGATAAGTGAAAGCTTGTAGAGGCGGGGGGTTGGGAGGTGGGAGTGTTGGTGGGCGGAATAAGTGGTGACACATCTTTGTTGCGGTTGTTGTTTTCTCTCACTTTTCCGCTTCGGCGCCTTCTGCCACGCGCGGGCAGTGGGTGCAGGAACCGCATGAGGCAGAGGCAAACGTGGTGTTTGGGCCCGTTGTGCATTTTCTTGTGCGGCGCATTCCCTCCTTGTTCCCCCGTCTCCCTTCACTGTTTCTCCCCGCACGCAGGAGGGGCCGCCAGCAACGGGGGCGGCACGCATGTCTCTGGACGATGACGAGGGCGGTGGGGCCGCGCCGGCCTCGGGCCCCCTCTTCTCCTCCTCGTCCGGCGACGCGGTGCCCACGGGGGCCGCCGGCACTTGCGTGGCGCGAGCCGTCTGCGTGTTCTTCGCGCGGCTCGCCGCGGGGGAGGAACTCCGGCCCCTCATCCGGCAGGTCCGCGCCGAGCTGCGGCGCCCGACACGAGCGGCGCAGGGCCCCCCAGCCCTGCCGGCCGCCGCACCCGACACCGGCGCACTCACTACGACGACTACGACGACGGAGGCAGCAGCAGCCGGTCTACCGGGACTCAGTCAAGGCGCCGCCGCACCCCGCGAAATCAGTGGCCGGGACAGGGTGTTTCTCCAGCGTGCCGCAAAAGTAGCCTTGATGCTCTCCGTAGAGAGTGGAACGGCGCAGGAGGAGGCAACGCGGCTGTTGTGTGAACCGGTGGTGGCGCAGGCTCTGCAGCGTGACGCAAAGCAGGGCAATTTTCTTGCGTTGCCTTTGCCAAGCAAATACGGCATTTTGTTGAGTGACCGAGTAGCGGTGCGGCACGCAAGGCGGTGGGGGCGCGAGGGGCGGTGGGATGTGGGGCTGCAGCTGCTGGGAGGCGTCGCCCCCAGCGCCATGACGGCGGCGGCGGCTGTGGAGCTCTTCATCCACGCCGGGCGCTGGGAGATGGCGCTGCGGTCGCTTGCTCGCATTCCCCCCGCATCGTGGACGGAGATTGAGGTGTCGGCCGCCGTCCGCGGCCTCTACCGCGCCACCGAAGCGCATCGCCGCACGAGCGCGGCGGTCGACAAGGCCTCAGGGGCTGGCTTGTGGGAGGCTGCGCTGCGCATACTGACGCTGGCGCGCGACAGCAAAGTCCCGCTGGGTGCGCCATCGGCTGCCAACGACGCGCTGGGTTTGCTTGGAGCGGACGGGCGGCAGTGGGTTATGGCGTGTCGCCTTGTAGAAGGCATGCTGCTGCGCGGGAAAAGGGAGGGGCTGGTGGCTGCGCCCAGCGACGGAGTTCGTCCAAATGTGGTTTCCGTCTACCACATGTGTCGGGCCCTGCGGGAGCGTTGGGACCTGGCGCTCCATTACGCCTCGCTGATGATTTCTGCGGGGGATATTCGTATCACTGACGATCGCGAGGCGACAGATCGCCTGCTACAAGCCTGCATCCGTGGGCACCGCTGGGCGGAGGCGCTGCGTACCGTGCAACAGTCTCTAGAGAGCAACCTAAGCAGAGCGGGTAACGCAGGCGAGGACTGCGTTCGCACCGAAGTTTTTCTTCACGTGCTGCGAGTATTGAACGGGTGCCAGAAAGGGTCCCTCGCCACGCAACTCCTCCAGCAGCCACAGCTGTCGAGGCACTTTAGCACGGACACCACGGGAAAGGCGTGTAACGTGATGCTGCGTTACTGCCCCACCATCGCCGAGGCACGAATATGGCTGCAGACGCTGGGAGCGAAAAATATGTCGGTTGAAAATGAGTCATACGAACATCTTATGGTTTTACACGCCAGGGAAGGCGATTGGCGGGAGGCGTTGTCGTTATTTAACGCCCTGCTCACCGACCCGCGACGCCAGCGTCTCTATATTCCCTCCGCCAAGGCACACGACGCCGTGCAATATGCCCTGGAGCGAGCCCCGCCGCCAGGGCCGTCGTGGGAATTGTCGCTGACGCTTTTCGCGCGCATGTGCGACTTGCATGTGCCGATTTCAGAAGTAGCCTTTCAGTCTGTTGTGAAGAAGTGCTTTGCGCAGGGTAGGACCGAGCAAGCGCAATCCCTTTTTCGCTTCGTCGTGCGTTACGGCGTCCACCGCTGAGGAAGGAGAGTGCACGCACACACACACCGGGAGGAGACTTCAATCGCACGCAAAGGCACCTTTAGTCGAGACGGCGTAACGTGGGTGGGCGCACGGGATGACATGGCGCACATCTACATTAAATTTCGCCGTCATTTAACGTGTGATCGTGAGTTGTGGGTATACCTCTGAGGACCACGTGCTCCTCTGCCCGTGCGTGTGCAATCTCATTATTACTAATATTATTCCTTTTTCTTCCTCCTCTTCACGCGCCGCACGAAAGGTTTCCTTCACTAGCGCAGCTTCAGAGAGTACCGGTGCCGGGGACGGGAATAGAAACGACACGCTTGAAACTAAACCTTTACTGAGCAACCGCGGCCGGTGGGACAAGCGAGGCGGAGGGGAAAATAGAAAATGAGTGGCTTCGGTGCGGCGGGAGGAGGCCTCGCTGGACACAACAACTTCGGCGGGCCCTTTGGACAGCAGTCGGGGTTTGGCGGCCATGCCGGGGGATTCGGTGTGAGTAACACGGCGGCAGGGCCAGGCTTTGGCAAGTCGGGAACGGCAACAGCGCCATTCCCGCAAGGCCCCCAGGCACCAGGAGGGCAGGGCGGCGCCACGCATGCAGCGTTTGGAGGTATTGCCACTCCTGGAGGGTTTCCATCAGGCGGCTTCGGC